GGGGAAAAAATGCCAGTTTCCTACTGCCATGTTTTCTGCATTGCAGGAGTACACTGCCTGAAAGCCTAGAGAAAGCAGGCTGTGATCAGTTGGCCATAGACCCCAGGAAGCAGAAGTCCTGGGACTTCTGCGAATGGGAGAAGGTTTTGGTTTAGCATCTACATTGTAGCAGGTAGCCATACAAAGTAGCCATAGAATGGTGACTGACATTACACCAGTGAAAACGTTTGTGTCTCTGTGCAGATGTCTCCGTCAGATGGGTCAGATTCCATGAGATTATTCGTAGCAGGTATCTTAAACAGGATTTATAAATTTATGTGTCATAAAAACGAAACAGCACATTAAAAAAAACAAACAACAAACAACCAATAAAAAAACCCCTATTGTATACAGGATTTATTCAAGGGTGGAATACTGGGAAACCTGCCCAAGATAGATAAAGAGCAACCATATCTCTTGAAGATGTTCAGATTTCTAAGGTTTCAGGCATGTTCTTGGCTACTCAGGAAAATACATGAGTTTTACTTGTGGAGATATGATGTGAAGTGACAGTATAAACTCTACATAGACTTAGAAACATGTATTTTCCAAAGGTTTTCTTGGGGTGAGAGACTAGGGTATATTTAGAAACTTTGCAAGAATGGATAAGAGATTTATTTTCCCTTCCCTTCTTTCTTGCTACCCCACGCATGGCCAGTGTTGCATGCAAAAAGATTTTGTGACAGAGTCATTGGCATTTTTTCATCTTTATGCTTATTAGAAACGTTCTGTTTAATATCAGTAGTGGAATGATCTATATAATATTTTAATTAACTATAAAACCTTCAGAGTATGTAGGTGAGTGGATGATATATTTGAAGTGGTACAAAAGCTGTTTGCAACCTGCATTCTTTCATGTGCTCAAGTTAACTGTTTTTGATGGGAAGGGAAAAAAAAGTTTTTCTCTCTATTTGAGACTATAAGTTCTCCAGACCTGTGATGTATTTTGAGGTTAACAGGAGCTTTAATTTGCAGACTAGACTGTGTTGAAGCAAGGGCTCTGTGACATTCATTGTGCTCTTGATGCAGAGTTGCTGCATCTGACAAGTAACAAATTTGATACATGCAAATTTCTTTCAGTGAATCTTTTTCTGTAATGCTATGTTCTGTTCTCCTCTGAAAAAGGAGGGAGTTGGATGTAGCCTCCAACCACCACTGTGAATGAAGACGTAAATTGAAGTATTCATAGCTGAAAGGTAGATTTGCAGCTCTGTGTTTTGCATAATTTCTACCGGAGTGTGTACCTGTACTTGTGTGTACTGGTTCATGTGCATGTTAAACTGCACATAACTCAAAATCTTCCTCCCACCTCCTAAAGGGGTACTGTTACACTGATACAAATAATTAACAATATTAATATGGGCACACTGTTCCTTTGATGATAAAGAAAAAATATTTGATATTTAAAAATATTAAAATTAAGGTCTTTAAAATTACAGTTAGTTGAGTAAACATGTCCTGTAGTAATGCTTAATGGTTGAGTTTTTTATTATATCATCCTCTCATTTTTCTGTAAGGAGAGGTCTGTTTTTTTTCCTGTAATAAAGTAATTCAAGCCTACGTTTGATTGAATAGCAGTTTTTCTTTTAGAATAGGTGGTGTGGTTGTGTTGTAGTTTAGATTTTGGTGGGTTTTCCTCCCTAGTTTATTTGTAAATTGCATATTTCAGTTGCATCACAAGACTCTACCCACTCCTGTGAGTTCCTTCATTGCTGAGGGAAACAAATCATATGCTTAGCCATAAGTAGTGGTTCTTGCTTGTGTTTGAGGAAGCTGCTACCCTGAATGTCACATTTTAGTGAACCTGTCACATAGCACATTCCTTAGGTCTATTTTTCTGATGTTTTGGAGATTTATTTTTTTTCAAATCTTAGTTAAGGCAGTTTATTGATTGGAGAAACAGTCATATGGTTCAAAGCTTTTAGAGAAACACATGATAGCAGGCTGACAAATCTAAGTGCTTATTCTATGTGTTACTATTGTTTGAAGGGATGTTTTGGGTAGTAGTTAAGTTAAATTCCTGCTTTTATCACATCACTCTTCTGAGAGCCTAAGGATGTTTAATGGATACACATTATATTCTGGATTTCCAAAGACCTCAGACTTCGAATCTTCCTGTCTTTGAAGCCGCTGGAATAGATGAAAAAATAAATAATAAGATAGTTTTGCTGAACTGCACCTAAAAACAACTGCTTTCTTTCTAAGGCTAAATTTGTCATGCCACAAGGTGTGAATGGCTGAATACTTCATAGGCAAATATTTCCTTCCCAGGATAACTCCAGGATCACTCCACTCCACTGTTCTGAGGAAAGAAACTGAGAGCAGATTCTGTTCTCTGGATATGAAGAGTTAAGGCAAAAGAATATCAGGGTTTTTGTCTTGTAGAAATTGTGACTTCCAGCTGCTGATAGCTTATTGATGCCAAGAATTATTTTTCTACTGCATTTGCCAGAAAAATGGTTTAAAATGGCACCCTAAAGTACATGCTTTATCAGTTTTTTCCTTGTCTGCTTAGTGCAAATTATTTTTATTCTTAAATCTCAGGTGATTTTGATTTCTTCAGAACTGAGGTGTAAGCAGTTTCAGGGCATGTCATTAGAGTAATGGAAGATCCCAAAGAAAATACCAAGTTTCATGGGATGTTGTTCTTATGGGAAGTTGGTTCTTATGACTATGACATGGTGACTGACCAGGGCTGGAGAGAAAAGAATTGCTGTACTTTGGTGGTGGTTCTTTTGGGCCAACTGATGCAGGGGAACAAAGTTGAGCTCCTAAAGAATCTGAGCCAAAAAGACAGGACTGTAAGGTCAACAAATCAGATACTCCTTTTCTGGCTTCAGTGTCTTATGTAGTATGTAGGGATCCAGGAACTGCTTTCTTCCAAGTGCTTGGATATAAGAGGTCAAATGCTCTGCAGTTTCCCACAGTTTTTTTTTTTTTTAGAGTGGGAATGATTACCAAGGTAAAACTGAGATTCTAGCAGTGACATGTGATTGAAAAGTAGCTGACTGATGCTTAGAGCAAATAAGACAGATGTTATGTTGCTAGGAAAAAAAAATGTTCAAAGAACTGATCATGGTCTTGGTCTTTAAGTTCATAGAAAATGATTTTCTACTAGTTTTTAAAGTAATGTGATACTTCAGATGCCTGTGACACTGCTGTGTGTGGCTGTGTAAACAGTGTCCCTCTGGCAGCTTGCTCTAGTTGGTTCTGAAGGACTGGGGCATCTAACAGATGCTATAAAATTCTTTACAAGAACAGTGGACAGATAGTCGTGTTCTACAGAAACATAGAATTAGCTTTCAATGCAGTCCCTCTTCTGTATATATAATATTAATCTTCAGATCCTGATGATAAAATAAATAAAACATCCATCTTTGTTTGTCATTTTTATTTTGAGTCTAATCAAATTAACAGAGAGATTAAGCAAGGTCTTGACTAAGTCCTGTGACTGTTCACATTTAAGTAGTCAGATCTGTAGGTCTTTTGCAGAAAAAAACTTATTAGGTATGACTTCAGTATTCTCTGTAGGAAAAAGTTTGTGTGTTTGTGTGTTGACACCTTGTGCTGGGTGCAGATACAGAAACAAAGTGTTCAGGGTTCCAGTGTGACTAGTTAAAAGACAAGAGTAACACTATTAGGTGAGATTTGAATACTCATGAGTTGCATACCTAAATTTCATGGAGCAAATGTTTATTTCTTCCTTCACTTGTATTTAGTGACTGTCTTTTTTGTTGCACAATGCGTAAATTAAGTTAATATTTTAAGCATTGTATTAATCTTGCGGTCATTTTGTTGCATTAAAATCTCATTATGTTTCTCAGAAATTTTGTGTTATTTTCTTTCACTGAAAAGAGGAATTTTGTTATTTTAAGCTCTTGGTTCTTGTGGATATATGGAAGTTCAGTTCTCTCTGTCTCAAAATAAGAAAAGTGTCTATAAAAGGTACTTTCTGCACATTTCTGCAAGTCACTGTCTGGCAGACATGTCAAGTTTTCTACTAGACTATTGCTGCCACTGTTCACTGTTTAGTGTTTGTCCCCATGAGTGTAGTGCCAGATCCAGACATACAAAGAATAGCCCATATCCAAATCATAGTTTAGATAGTTTGACAGCTGTCAAATACAATTTTTTTTTCCCTACCTCATTGCTACAACATATGCTGCTCTCCAGGGGAGACAAAAGCTTTCTGTTGATAACCTTAGTGCTTGGCTTCTGTTGAGATGGCTGAGTGCTGCTGAACTGTGTCCTAAAAATTACTGTGGCATATAAGCCTATACAGTCACTCATGTGTCTGCTTTTGGGCTCTTCCAGAATCCTTAGTGTGGTTGACAGAGCAAAAGTAGTTGAACTGAATGCCTTTGCATGTAGTCACCCTAGCTCCTCATTCACTGTTCAACTCACTATTGTATCATCATTCTCCTCATTAAGTATCTAATTACTTTAATAGGCTTTCCTGACACCTTTTTTCCCCAATTATGAAGTGGTTGCCTGATGGTTTGGAGATGAACTGGAAGATCTTATCAGAAATGAACCACTGCCATGACAGAAGCTGCAGGTTTATGACAAGGAGCTGCAGGGCAAAGTGAAAAAGAATGGGTAAAGGTTTAGGTCTTAGTGCCAAGATATTCCAGTGAGAAGGTAAAGGATTAGGCTCTGTGGTACTGTCAGCATGGTAGTTCTGCCAGTACTCATTAACAGAGCAGACGCTTTAATGGAAGAAAGCTGCATAGAGTCAACTTCCTTCCTTATTTAAACAATGTTGATTTGACATTGGTGTGTGTGTGTGTATGTTGGATTTTTTAATACTTTTTTTTCTTTTTATTCTTTTAATGATGGTTAAGAGAGAAAATTTAATTAAGTATTTTAATAATTCTAAATAGATGGTTTATTTTCACTTACAAGTGTTACATTTGTTAAACTATTCTTGTTTTAATTAATTCTCATTATTGTCTTGAAAGGAGCTGACAATATCAGGAAATACTGGAGTCGTTACTACCAAGGATCCCAAGGGGTAATATTTGTACTAGACAGCGCCTCCTCGGAAGATGATCTAGAAACTGCTAGGAATGAGCTGCATTCTGCTCTTCAGCACCCACAGTTATGTACTTTGCCGTTTTTAATACTGGCCAATCACCAAGACAAGCCAGCAGCTCGCTCAGTACAAGAGGTATGTTAATGTGTCAGCTTCTTGCCTGCTTGTATTTACTTTCTGCACACCACTGATCCCTTATCACTTATTACCCTGACATCCTGGTTAAGGACTGGCCTCATTTTCTCCTTTACTGTAAGTATGCAGACCAGCAACAGTCCCAGTCTCCAAAAACTTAGTCCACTGCACTCTATACAGACTTAGTTGTTCTGGAAAACAGACAAGTAATACTTGGATACAAGCAGATCTTCTGCTTTCACCATATTTTGCTTAAGGGAAGAAAGATGTTTTTAAAACTACTCTTGTGAAAAGCTGCTGGGACAGTGATTTTTTTTGTTTAACTTGGGTTTTTATTTGCTATTAGTTTTAATTTTGCGCTGTTCCATTACTCCATTCTTTTCCACTGCTTAAAGCAATATGTTGCAGCCATAGGTTGTCTTTTTTATGTAAAAGCTTTTATCTGAACGGCTGTGTACTGATTTGAGGTAAGAATTGCAATTCCTGTTCTGATATCCTGAAGTGTTTCTCATCTTCCTGTTCCAAGGAGTAATGTTTTTGTCTAATTTCTAGCTATCACACAGTAAATTACGTAATTGTTCTATTCAGTGTACCTTTTGCTCTTCAGTTTCTGAGAAATTTGTCTTGTCTACATTCCGATCATGTCAGATACATTTGGGGAAATGCTGAAAATTACTTCTGAAATTGTAGGAAGAAGTAAAATCGGGTTGTGTCATTCTGTTCATAAATGTCATTTAAAGGACTCCTCCTCTTAAAGATTATATGAGGAATCCGTTTGTTCTGTGATTGCAGCAGACTGAAAACTGTTTCAGCACCTTATCGTGTTGCTGCTTTGTATTTAAACTGATTCTTTCTTAGATTTTTCTTTTTCTGAAATATGAAGTTATAGAATTTGAGCTCAGAACAAACTGATCTGTACAGCATAGTACAGATGCTGTACTTAGTAAGAGATGCTGCTCTTAGTACAGCATAGGTGAACATACAGCCTTTTTTTCTTTATTGCTACTTACGTCTCCTTTCTAAGTCAAAAGAAATTAAGCTTATTATATGTTAGGAAATGTCATAAATGTAAATGGAGTATAGCAGTGGTCTTAAGAAGAGATTGTGAAAGGTTTGTCAACTACACTGTAAAATAGTTTTAAAAATTGTTGGTCCTTTTCTCTGAAAATTCATTCTTAGGAGAAAGGGAAAAAAATGGAATTTGGATTGAAAATATCAAGTTACATAAAAAAGTAAACAAAAGTTATGCAGGGATAGAACTTACAAGTTCTAGGTCTTGTTCATGTAAAAAACAGACTTAGAAAAAAGTACTTAATACGTAAAGGTAATGTAATATGGATTTTGATATGTAAGTTTAATAATTTGGCCTGGTTTATTGTACAGCATAAAAGCAAATTTGGCCTAGTTTATTTTACACCATAAAAGCAAAAACTTCCCACTTAAAAACCAAAAATATCCTGAGACAAAACTGGTTGGATTTTATCATCGAAATATAGTCTATATGCCTTGGCTTTAACTTTTTCATAGAGCAATACAGATCACATTTTTCATCATCTGTAGGGCTATTTCTTATATGATTTAAGTATTTCTTATTTTACTATATTTTTCACTTTTAAAGTGGCCAAAATTAAGTGAAGTTTTTTATAGCAAATAAAATTTCAGAAATGTTCTTTCTCCTATTTCATATTAATAATGAATGCAATGCCAGTTGGTTTGCTTAACAGCAAATTATACTTGTAGCTCTCTCATTTTGCAGATGAACTCATGTGGGCAGACTTTTGGGCCTGACCTGAGTTTTCTGTGTATTTAGACATAACATTTCTGTTCTTTTATTGGCAGTACCCTCATTTTCACCTCATTCTTCATTACCAGTTGCTTGAGATCTCAGTAGGGTAATAGATCTCTCTATGCTTACAATAGCATTTAAATAGGTTTCTACTACATGCTTTTAAAAAAAAAATCTTACAGTTTATTCTGGTAGCAGACAAGTCTTGATTGCTAATGTATGAGTACAACAGAATGTGTGCAGAATACAACAGTTTTGTTAAATGTGCATGGTACATGCATATTCTCAGGGAAAAACTCACACTGTATCAAGAGCTCAGTGATTTTTGAAGATCTTTACTTAAGAGTACTGGAAAGAAAAATTAAAAGAAAAAGAAAAAAAAGGGAATAAAAAAGAGAGAGAAAATGTCATGAAGTTGTTACATTGTCTCTGAAAAAAATTATGATCTGTGTTTGCTATGTATACAAAGTAGAAGCCTTCTTTGGTCATTTTTACCAATGTTGAAATGGTAATTTCTTGCTTTCCTGATGCTTTGCTGTGCTATTTTCCTCCTTATTGAGACGTGGAATAGACGTAAAATGATGAATGGCTAGATCATTGCTTATATAAAACAAACATATTAAAGTATGTAACAAATGTAACATGTTGAGCATTGAGAGTTTTATTAGAAATTTTTGCAGAATGAAGTCCATTAATTATAGGTATTTTCTTGACATTTTTTCATGTGTTAGAAGACAGATGAATCACAGTTGAAATTTAAAAATATGTATGCATTTTTTTAGGCAACAAATTGCCTTTCTTTAATGGATATGAAAGAACTCCTTGGAGTATAATTAAGGAAAATGTCTGAGTTGAGTGGTGCATAATAGGAAATGTAGAAAAATATTTATCTACAACAAAAATTCTTCACAAAACTGTGCAAGTGCCAAGCAATTTCTGCAACAGATGTTAGTTATATTTTTTGTTGGGAAGGGCAGTTGCTTCAGTTTTTCACAATGTTTTACTTTATTTAATGTGGGTTTTATCCATACATTGCTTAGGTAGAAATGATACTGTAGAATCTACGTGCTGTAAGTAATAAGCAATGTCATGAATAGTTCAATTCACAGCTATAGTAGGTACTTGCAAAAATATCCAAATAACTTACTTAATTTATAAAACGCAATTTAATCTAATTCATTTTGCAGAATATGCTTCATACTACTGTAATGACCAGGGAAAGTTACAGCAGAAGCCAAGCTGAAATACTAATCAGTACATGTAGTCCTTTTTTTTTCCCTGAGTTTTGTTGCTGGTTATCTGTTTTCTAGTTATATTTTGATTTTTAAATGAAGAAAGTAACTTTGGCGTGGCATTTCATTTCAGAAACTAGAAGTAAATATGTTTCTCTTATGTAGACTTCTTTGGTGGTTATTCTATCTTCCCATGTCAAAGATATTTGTAAGTTGTTTTTTTTTTCCTGTGACAATAGTATGTATTTAGACATATTTGAATATCTGCTAAGTCTGTGCGGAGATAAAGACTGCATATATTAACCAGGCTGTAAAACTGATACAATTGTTTTTTTTCCAATGGGTTTGCTCCAGAATAACTTTATTTTAGATTGAAATTACAGTAATGAAGAATTAATCCTATATAAGTCAGTTCTGACTGTAGTTTTGGAAAGCTTATGAATTAGCAAATAAAAAAATTTACAAATGAAAAGTAAATTTAGTTACTCAGCATATGAGGGAAGGTGGTAGCATATCAGTTTGGCCATGGTTTCCAAAATACAGGCTACAGTTCCAAAACAATTTATCTAATTATATGTTTTTTAAGTAAGTATCTTTCTGACAGAATGTGCTTTTACTTTTCCACACAAAAGTACTTTTGATTGTCAAAACTGGTTTTGATTAGTCAGATTTCTCTTACAGTGTTAAAATACTGCAGGAGAGTAATGGTGATAAAAGTGCTTCAAATTGCTTTAAAAGGGAACAGGCATTGCTGTGATTATCTGCTTGTTAATTTTTATTTTGGAATGTGTGCTACTTTGTGTATGAGTACCAGAAGCTGGATGTTACAGTGGATTCTTGTGAGTTGAACCAGTGTGCATTTTTCTCCCAGGTCAGAGCAATATTTAGGAGCTGCATGTATTGGAAGTTTTTGTAGCCACTATATTTTAGGAGCAGGCTATTCTGGATACTTGTCTGGATCTGTTTAGGACTCCTGGAAGCCATATAGGCCTGGCCAAAGGAGGAACCAAATTTAACTAGTTTTTCCAGTTCACTGGTGAAGCAGCTTCTTGTTTGGCAGTGTGTTGACTTTGGGACGTTTCTATTTTTATATTTAAGTCTCTTTTTAAGATTGTAGGTGCATTAGATGATCAGTGTAGATCCACTCCATTTGAACTATTCTATTCTAAGACCATATATGTGAAGACATTCATACACTATAACCTGTAGATGGGTTTGTATTCAGTTATCCTAAAATTCAGGCAAATAATAAATTTCTTTCATATATTTAAATTGGTGACCACTAGTAACATGAAAAATCACTGAAGATCTGTTCTAAATTCCCTTTTTTAAAAAAAAAAAAAAGATAGAACCTTTTAATATAGACTTACTAGTTAACAGTAAATCAACCTATTCTCAGCCTATTTTAAGATTATACCATTGTTTTAAATATAGTTGTTGGGAAAAGAAAGCTTATGCTGATCACAAGTGCTGAGTTTTTTTTCTTGCATACAAGACCTTACTTTAAATTTGACTTGATAGGGGTGGGAAACTCCATTGGAGAGTTCATTTTGATTGTCCTTTTTATCTTTTTTAAAAAAATCTTTTAAGTGCAAACAATATTTTCAAAAGTGAGTATGAAAGGCTTGTTGCCTATTTACATAGATTGTGATGCATTTATCTTTTTGAGATTATATGGATTTTGAATCACTGGCAGTGTTTAATTAGGTTTTCTGTTAGGAGAATAGTGGGAGGTGTCTCTCCTAATGAAGAGTCATCTTAAGGCTATGAGGGCTGTTATCTATTACTCTGCTAGTTTTTTCTCAGTTGTTTGTGTCTAGAAATAATTTTGTACATAAAGTGTCTTCTTGAAGCCTTAATATCTTAAAACTAAATAACCAAGAGAATGCTCAGGTTTGCCAGCATCTTTGGAGGCTCTTACTAGTGGTAGGGATCTGGAGCATGCTGCAAATTGGGCTTTCTAGGCCTGCCAATGGTCTGAG